CTCACATAGGTGCCAGGCACCATCTACCCTTTAATGCTTGGCCTTTATTTCATGTATGTTTTGGATGACGTTGTTAACTTTATGGACTGCCACCACAATGAGACCTCTGAACTAGAAAAGGATGGTGGACTCAGTGTATTAAAGGTTAGGCCAAACTGTAATACGAGTGAGTTCTCACAGTGATGGTATGCCTAACAGTTTTAATAATTGCTTAGAAATTTCCTTAGGTCTTTAGGATTTGTGGCTCTATAGGTTAAGAGGTTGAATGGGATTATTCTTTGGCTATATGCATTTACTGGATTTTTTTGCTTCAAACAATGTTTTTAGGATTAGAAATTTCTTCTCTGACAGTTTGTGGATCTTTGAAGGGACATGACAACTGGTTTGTGAAAAATACATACATAAACAAGTCTGAAAATACCCAGTCAGTCAACAGGTAATTCGGATATACGATATAGAGTTACATGCATAGTTTAAATGGTAATATACGGTTTTTGATATATGGTTCTTCAAACATTTTTGATATCACAATAATCACAAATGCAAAGATAGTGTGTCATAGAAACCTGAAATCTCTACTGTTTATAGCCTTACATTACAATTTTCCTAGGTAGGGAAATTGATGTTTGGGTACAAATAAAAGCTGCACATTAATGTGACTGCTTATTATATTTTTCTGCTAAGGCAACAGTGCTAGTGATCCTGTAGGAGTTTAGCAGCTTAAAAAAAAAAGCTGTTAATACTTCAGACAGAGCTGCATTTTAGGTTTGCTCCTTATACGGAGAAAGCCACTATTGCTGTTTTGTAACGGTTTCCCTGAAAATAGCCTACACTAATCTTTAAAACTTCCAAAATGTCTGCACAGACTAAGTACTTTTCCAAGACAGTGGCTGGGAGTTCTGTTAGGGGAAGTCTGAGCCTACCATACAATCAAAGGGGCCACACTGTCACACGTTCATTAACTTCAAAAAATTTGCATTATTTCTAACACTCAAAGAGTGTCAAATGTGGTTGATAATGATGCTATGTGAGAGCACAAATTTGACCTAGCTATGCCATCATAGCTTTGAAAAATTACCTTTTTTCCTACTTGAGGGTAGATGCAAGCC